TCTCGTGTTTAATGCCATTTTTATTAACCATTAAAAAGTGCAGAGTCTGTCATGATTAGTCGTAATCTAAACTTTGAGATTTTTTAAAAAATGTTCATTTGAGCGAATATGTATTCTTGGGAAGAAACTTGTTTTGAAAAACCAACCCTTGTTGTTCCTGGTTCTGCAAGTTTGGCGCCTAATTCTTCACCTTTACAGTTATCTTCGCCTAAAATTAACAGGCAATTAAATTACATGTTAACATATAATTACGATCGTTGATCGATCATTCGTAAATGTGGTTAGCATATCCTTCTATAAGTTACACCCTACGAGGCGAGCTGTGTGCATCTTAATATCTTTTAGGACTATTGGGGAAAGTAAAATAATATGTTAATTCTCGTAAATCATACCGGATCTATTAGAACCAATAATTGCATTACTCAATTGAATTGACTTCTTGTGTCTAGGGTACTGGAGCCTATCTCTAGATTAAAAATTAATTAGCACAAAATACATTATTAGGTACAGATTCACAATCCTCATTGAGGGAGACTTCTTAAATTCCTAGGCTCTAGTAGTTTATCACACTCTCTTACCATGAATTTGACACCATTTTGTTGCGTGAAATAAATTTTTTATGTAATTCTCGATCGATCGATTCAGCTATAATTCATGAGCAAATTCTACATCCAAATGAATTTTTTATTTGAAATAAAAAATGTAGAGTTGAAGGGTACAATAAAAAAGTAATTGATGTGGAAACACATTCTCATTTTGTTCAACACTAGGTTTTGATTAATGATTCTTACAATACATGTCTGTATACATTGAGAATATATTCTCATTTCCTAGTGTGAAATTTTAGAAAACAAAAATTCAAAATATTGTGTTTAAATTTTCAAAAATTTGTAGAGTCTATCATGATTAGTCACATTCCAAACTTTGAAATTTTAGAGTTATGTTCATATGAAGAAATATGCTTTCAAAAAATTAGGAAACTCAAGATTTTTTTCCAAAAGGAAATCTTACACACAAATAATTTCCAAAACAACTAAATTATTTTAGGAAGCTAAAGCAATAAGATAATTACAAAAAAAAATCCAGTTCAATGAATAGAAGAAAAAAATCAAAAAATTATGGAAAATGCACCGTGTTGAAAACAAAAAAGTAAATTCATTAAATGACTTAATCCATTCACTATAAATATATTAATGACTAAAACAAAAAATTAAAATCCAGTAAAAAAGGTAAAAATATAAAAATAAAAATGAAATTACGAAAGCAGGTGGCGGTTAACAAGCAAAAAAACCCGTAATTAATTTCTTTCTTGGCCTTTTCTCTATATATTTATTATTTCTTCTGTCACCCCACACAACCCCCCGCAAAAGAAGAAGAAGCCATTTTCTTCTTTTGTTTGCAAACGTTGTCTGCACATGAATAGTGTGACCGAGTCGACTCACTGACTCACCCTTTCTTCCTCCTCTTTCTCACTCTATTTTGCATACATCATTTCAGTCAACACCAACAAAACCATTTTTGTTTAAACAAACGTTTTCAGAAAGCAATGATCTCGAAAGACATCATCCAGTTAATGAATTCTCCAACCGTAACTCCATTCATGAAAAACACTACTGCTGGTCAAGTGGTAGTGCAACAAGAACTCATGCAAGCGGTTGGGAATCCAAATCTAGGGTTCCCTTCTGCAACTGAAAAGAAGAAGGAGAAGAAGAAGGAGAAGAAGAAGGAGAAGGAGAAGGAGAAGGATGAGAAGAAGAAGAAGAAGAAGAAGAAGAAGAAGAAGAAGAGTAGGTTTTATAAGAACTACAACAACAACGACAACAACGTTGTATTAGAGGATTTGACCTTGCATCTTGAAGATCAACTCAAGGTTTAGTTTTTTTTTCTTTCTTTCTTGATTTCGATTCTGTTTGGGTTTGCATGTTTTGATGTGGGTTGTTGTTCGTGGCTTGATTTTTGCTAGGAGTTGTGTGTTCGATTGAGTAGAAGGAAGAAGGCAAAACAATCCGATGAGGAGGAGGAGGAAGAGGGAACCCTTAGGGTATGCATAAACTTTCCACGGAGCCCTTCCTTCATAGCTACTTGTCTTTATGTGTTCGTAGAAAGGAGAGATGGTTAGCATCTTCCCTGACAGGGATGGGAAATGGCTTTCGGGCCTTCTTTTTACCAACACCACTTATCTTTGTGATGGATGATTTAAATTTTTGTTTTGTAGCTAGACTATTTCTCAGATCTTAAATGACAAAGACATGCAGAGTGCACAATGCACAGTCTTGGATTCAATTCTCACAATCTATCATTTCTAGAAATTGGCCAGTGGCAGAAGTGTAAGCTTGAATAGCTCGCTCTCTTGTGGGTTTGTTGGGTTTGTACATGAAACCGGGTGGAGCAAACTCACGGGAACGAGAGATTCAGGGTTACAGCCCAACCACTGGCCACCGAAAACATTTTTTCCGTTCTCATATACACATACATGCCATGGGGTTGGTGGATGATGATTTCTTGTGTATGTTGTAGTTGGAGGACTTCCCATTCTTGAGAAAACGAAAGGGAACAGCTATGACAGAGAAGCTTTTGGAGATGTCCTTTAAGATACCTATGAACCAAGGGATCTATGAAGAAATGGAGAAGGTAATAGGTCGACACACACCATTGTTTTGATGATGAATACACCATACTTGAAATGAACATATTACATATCTATGTGTTATTGTTCTGTGCGTGTACGTATATATAGCTGGCACCAAGGGCTCAAGCGGCAGCCGAGCAACAGAAGCAACGATGGTTCCCTTTCTCTGAACGGCTTCAAGGATGGATTGGGGAGCGTCGGGGACGTAAAACCGATATATCGATCCCATATGACATGGTAATGAATCAATTCAACATACTATTTAAGATGATTTACCATGGATTTCAACTGTTATTGCAACTGGTTTTGGGGTTGATTTGCCAAAGTTCGACATATGAATGATTGGTTTTACTTCTCATAGTATGGTGGTGGTGGGTTTAATGTTGTTTATGTGAGGATTTTGATTCGTTTGTGTTTTTTTTATGGGTATTCGATCAGAGCGAAACAATTAGGATGAAAACATCTATCATGCACTCTGACTTCGAATATTGTGTGGCAATTATTACCTAAAAAGAATCCATTTAATTAGAGTAATCGATTTTCATGTGTCTCGTATCTAACTTACTCCTTTCACGTAACTTATAAGTTTTTGTTTTTTTCATCATACTAACTATAGCTTCCTGATTCCACCATGATGTGCATAAACATATTTCAGTTAGTTCATTCTTTTAGTGTGTCGAAAGTGGCGGAGCTACATCTAGTTTAGGAGGGGCTGCAACCCCTACATTTTTTTACTTAAGGTTATAATATATATGTGTTCTGACAAACATTGCAAAGTGATGGGATCGAATGAGGCTATCATCCCCCCTCCCTCATTCAAAACTAAGAGATTCAATTGTGAGAAGTTGTTGCAGCTTGTTATCTATTCCCTTTTCACTCTAAATCATTGCTTTAATGCTTTGACACTAAGTGCCAATGTGCAATACCATACTGTTTCTTATGTACTTGTTTTCTCTTCACTATCACGTCCTCTATTTCATATTCATGTAACTTGGTTTGCTTGTTTGATTAACAAATGTTTAGCTATTTCTTACCTCACTTATCTGTCTATGATATCATATCTCACTTGCACTATCTTAATTGTCATATGTGCATGCAGTATTATCATCACATAGAATCAAAAGGCCACTTTAAATCCACAGTGGAAGTAATTAAATTTGTGATGAATAATGTTTATCCTGATCGTCTCAAGAGCAATATTTACCCCAAGAAGACCAAATCAATTAAATCAGCTAGCTCCTCCTCTTCAACCCCACCAAAAAGGAGGGGACGAAAGAGCAAAACAAGCCAAGTTGACAATATTGAGTCGTCAACATCATGTGTCTCTTCTTCCACAACCAAATTAGTGGGAAGCAAGAGAAGTTTTGAAGAAGCTCAGTTGGTAACTATCCATCTCATTGACCTATATATGTATTATCCGGACCAGATTGATTCAATAATACTAAGTTACTCACTCAATTAATTACTTATTTCTTTTGGTGGGAGTACTACAGGATGCAACAATTACCGAAGAAGAGATGAAAGTTGCAAACATCGTGGCTAATGATTTGAAGGCTGTGAATAGTAAGACGGAAGATAGCTCTGTAATTGATGTGGAGGAGAAGGATGAGGAGTATAATAACAAGTTGGAGGAAACTATCAACAGCGCTACTGCACCACATCCCATCGAAGTAGAAGAAGAGCCAAAATCACTTGGAGTTGGCGTCGAAAATGGTGCTAAATCATCGGTAGCATCCACGAGCTTCATTGCTACTTTCGAAGATATGGGTTGGTGTGATAATGAGGTGTTTGAGCTTGAAGGTGGCAGAAGGAGTTCTATTGCCCCAGTGGAAGCCATTGTGCCTATGGGAGAAGGCATAAAAACTTGGGGAGACGATAATGATGGTTATAATGAGCATTATTATCACGATTATGATCATTATCATAATTATGTTGTTCCAATGGTGGAAGAAGCTCTTGTTATTGAACAATCTCTTGCGATCCTTAGTGATGTTACAGGATCAAAGATGGAAGGAAATCATGATCAAGGTGGTGGAAATATGAACTTCGACGATGGTGTTGTTGTTGCAACAACTACAGGAGGATCACTAGGTGGGGAGCCTAACCGTAGCCCTAGCCAGAAATGCAAACGACATTGCATGAGTGAGGTTGCGTCCGGTCTACTCGATGATGTAGTTCGACAAGGGTTTGGGATTGGTTCTTCAGCCAAAAGTAGTTGTGGTTATGAATTGTTGACATTGGAAGAGATCTTCAAGGACTAAGCTTTAATGTTCGTGACAATGTTTTGAACTTTTAGAGCCAACCCCTAATGAGTGTTATTGTAACTAGTTTTAATTCTTGTGAACAATTTGCTTTGCTTGTTATGTGAAATCGTTTATAATATTCCTTATGGTTCATTGGTAAAGTTGAAACAAACACATTAACATTAGTTACCATAATTAAACAAATGAAAAGAGCTTAAATGTATTGAATTCTTTGTCCAAATCCCATCGCCCAATAGGGATTTAATCACTTTCTGGACTCCACAAAGGAAGAAAGAATATGAATGAATGACACGAGAAACAAAATGCCAGAATTGTATAAATTCTTCTTCTATAACTAATTTTGGTGTTGTTTAGAATCAAAGCTAATTCAATAATAGAGATCATAAATTGAGGGAGCACACTTCAACAAACATATATATCATAATAAATATCACCCATCAGCTTGGTCTCTTTGTCAATCTGGTTCTTAAATCTCAAGCATGTTTCCTTCATTTCTGCACACACAAAAATAAAAGTGAACAAGAGTTTAATGGACCACTATTTTTGGGTATTATTGGCCAAAGTAGAAGAAGAAACTTATTCTGAAAAACCAACCCCTGCTGTTCCAGGTTCTGTAGGTTTGGCGCCTGATTCTTCACCTTTGAAGTTATCCTCACCTAAAATTGACAAGCAATTAAATCACAAGTTAACTTATAGTTACGAACGTAGTTGATCGATCATTCATAAACGTGGTTACGGTTTCTTTTAACAAGTAACACCCTACATGGCGAGGGGTGTTCATCTTATTATCTTCTAAGGGGCTTGGGGAAAGTAAAACAACATGCACGTTATGCTGGTAAATCCTATCGAATCAATTAGGCCAAAATGCTAAAAGTTTCAATGTTGAGTAGATGGGTTGACACTAGTTTAGAAGTATATAGAAGGGAGGATACATCAACAAGTAATTAGCTTATTAATCAACTTATTAATTAAGATATCTATGATTGCTTCTCCATAATGTTGTTAGGGTTTCTTTTAATATGTGCACCCCAAGAGGCATGGAGTAGCGCGTACAATTTGGTATCTTTTAGGACATTCAGGGAAACTAGAATAGCCTATTTTTACGTACTCGTACCACCCAATTGTTCAGGTCAGAAAATATAAAAAATTTAATGTAGAGAAGATTGCTTGATAACAATATAGAAGTACATGGAAGGAAGAGAGAGTACCCCCATCAATAAGTAGTTAAATTTTAAATCAACTTAATTCATTACGATTCGTTGATCTTGTCTTCATTAATGTGGTTAGGGTTTCCTTTATTACATAACACCACACATGGTGTGGAGCGTACATCTTAGTATTTTTCAGAGAGTTTGGGAAAAGTAGAATAACTTTTTATGCTCGTTATGCTATCGATTTGTTAGGCCAAAAAGCTTAAAAATCTTAATATATAATATATGGTTAACATTATCATAATTCTATGGAGTGAGAAGGGGAGTGCCTTCATCAATAGGCTATTAAATTAAAAATTATTTTATTACTTACGTTATCTATGATCGCTTCGTAATAAATGGGGTTAGGATTTCTTTAAATACATAATAATATCCCACGTGGCATGGCGCGTGCATCTTAGTATCTTTTAGGGCGTCTTGGGAAGGTCGAATAACATATTTGTACTCATAGTTCTTAAACAATCGATATGGCAAAACATGTAAAAGAATTAATGTACAAAAAATGTCCAGGAATAAACATAGAAGTACAAGGAAAGAAGCGAGGACACTTCCATGGACAATCAACGAGATTAGAAATTAACTTATTAACTATGATATATCTTATGTTGTTAGGATTTCATTTAATACTCAACACCCCATGTTCTACATGCAAATTTGTCACTTTTTGGGCATTTGGTGAAAATGGAACAACCCTGTACGCTTATCAGTCCTATTAGGGCACAAAACATAAAAAGTTGAATATGAAATGTATAGAGAAAGAAGATGGGGTTACCTCCATCTTCAGGCAAGTCAGAAGTCCAGAGAGTGAGGTTGTCTCTCAATAGCTGCATAATGAGGGTACTGTCTTTGTATGACTCCTCACTCAAAGTATCCAACTCCGCAATTGCTTCATCAAAAGCTTGCTTGGCCAAATGGCAAGCCCTTTCAGGGGAATTCATGATTTCATAGTAGAAAACAGAGAAGTTGAGCGCAAGTCCGAGCCTAATTGGGTGTGTTGAAGGCAACTCTGTGCTTGCAGTAGCAGAAGCAGCCTTTTGAATTATCATTTAAAATGAAGGTAATTACAATGTCGCGCGACGATGATATAATAAGGAGCCCAAATGGAAGATGTGATATAATCAATTACCTCATAACCCTTGAGTGATTGTTCAGCTGCATCTTTTTTCTCTGATTCAGTCTTGAACTCAGCAAGATAACGAAAATAGTCGCCTTTCCTGATCAAAATTAGTCATAAATAAGACCTATGATTTCCTTACAAATACAAACTTAAGAACAATTGAAAGGGAATTTGAAGGAGTAGAAGGGAACTTACATTTTGTAGTAGAAAACAGTAGCTTCGCCAGAGGCAGATGAAGGGATGAGATGCTTGTCAATGATGTTGAGGATATCTTGACAAATTTGGGCCAACTCATCTTCCACCTTCTGGCGGTAAGTCTTGATCAGCTTCACATTCTGCTCATTCCCCTTGGACTCTTCCTTCTGCTCGATTGACGACATGATCCTCCACGACGCTCGCCGCGCTCCGATCACGTTCTTGTACCCCACCGACAACAAGTTCCTCTCCTCCACTGTTAGCTCGCAGTCCAATTTTGCCACCTTCTTCATGCAATCCACCATTTCTAGGGATTCACAGGAAAAAATTCAAATTCCGATTTGAAAACCCACTAATTTGTTAGAAAATTCAAGGGATTTGGATTTTGTGGTGTTTTTGTTTGTTTACCTTCATATCGCTCGGCCTGTTCGGCAAGCTTGGCCATGTAGACATGGGCCTCTCTCTCCTTCTCTGTCGACGACATTGTTGATGATTAGAGTTTCCCAAGATCAAACCACGGAAAAGAAGAGAAGTAAAGAAGCGGGAAGCCGGACAAAATTGAGAAAGGCGATTGAAGGGAAATGGGTGGGGAATAAGAATGGTGGGGGAATTTTGCTTGGTGGGTGATGAAACAAATTGGAGAAACCCCATTACGAAGAAAGAGGCGATGGAAGAGGAAGACTGGATCTCAGACATTTTTACTGGTTCCATCGCACTCTTCTGATCATCCTTTGTCTATTTTTCGGGAACCAATTTTTTTCCTTACATGGATGTCAATTTAGGGGTGAACAAACTCATACCAAATTTTACCAGATTGAGTTTTTGAACCGACTCACTCATCCAACTTTATCACAGGCCGCGAGTATATTTGATATATGAAAGTAGAGATTTTTTGTTGAATATGAGTTTAAAAGTTTATGACTAGAATATTTGATTTTTTTCTTAGTATTTTTTAAGCCTTTTGTGGTAACATATTAAGAAAATTTCGACTGCTCTCATCTCTCCCGATTTCTAAAGCCTCCTTCCGCCTATGTTCACAAATATTGACTTCCAAAATACATTCACTTGGATAAAATGATCGATCGAATGTCATATTTATCTCTAAATACAAGGAACCTCGTGATCTCACCTAAAATGTCAACAGATATTCGACATGATCGACCTATTGATCTACATTATTGCATAAACAACTACCTTCGATGTTTTTGGCTTATTCTCTGATCTGACCACTTGCAATTCCAAGTTCTCCAAAGTGTTTATCTTTCTGAAGGATTTAGAAATCTTGGATTCCTATGGTCTTTGAATAATATCAACATCAGGTATGAGTACGGTCTTTGAAAACTATAGTTTGATTTTCAAGTTCGAGTATTTTTCTTCTTCAATCCTTTCCCCTTCTCTTGTTTAGTCCACGCCCCCCCCCCCCCCCACACCCACCTCGACGGACGGTCTGATGCACTCCTCCTTCATGTGTTCTCAAGGTTAACTTCACTATGGAATTTCAAACATGTATCTTGCAGGGCTTCTTAATGCTCATGACGCCATTTCAATTGTGGTTTCCTATCAGAATGCTAGAGTGTTGGTTGAAGGCGACTCAGAGGCTGTTATTCGTCAACTCACCTGTAATGCGTGATTGTCTCCAGTTGATCTTGGTCATGCCCCATGGTGTGGAGTTTAGGGCGCTTCCTAGAGTTTTCAATTTGGCTTCCCATAGAGTGACACATGAAGCCCTTTCCTTATCTTTGTTATATTTTGTGTCTTTTGATTTTTGCGTCTGGTTATTGTTATATAGCCAGCTAGGTTTTTGCAAGGGTGGGTTTTTTTTGGATTTTTATTTCTTTCTTGACATTTCTCGGGGGAAAACAAAAATATAGTTGTTTATTTAATTTATAGGTCTTCTTGTTAATATTAACTCATATTAAATGGTAGCGAAATCCTTGTTAAGTACTGAAATCTTTCTAGTGGTCGTTATTTTGCTTTATAATGGTAGAATCTCGTTGCTGGAAGTTGAGAAATTGGTTTTTATTGAGACCTAAAGTCAATTAAAGTCAACCTTCTGCTAGGCCTAGGTCTAAACCAATTTTTTTCGTCCGACCAAAAATTCAAGCATCAATTCATCTTCTTCTCATGCATACAGAGGTAGGGATGGAGATAGGAGTGTGCAATGGTTTGGTCTGGGATCGGACCGCACCGGACCAAGGCCAATTTTGGACCAGACTGCAGCAGATCGAGCATAATGCGGTCTGGTCCTTGGTCCACATTAATTTTACAATTACTGAAGAAATGATGGACCGAGCTGATTTTTGGACCGGACCAAATGGACTGAACACAATGATGGTCCGGTCCTTGGTTCTAAGATCTCTTTCACTAATGGACCGCGGTTCTCGGGAATTTGGTCCGGTCCGGACCAGACCGAACCATTGCACACCCCTAGATGCAGAGTAGGGCAGAGGGAGAGAGATCTTAGCTTCTTTCATTAGCATAGTCGAGCAGGGCAAAGCATCAGGTGGACAGGGGATTCATGCACCACCAAGTCGTCATCTTTCCATTCTTCTTCTCCAACCTTATTCTTTTAGACCAGAGCGCGCAAAGGGACCTGACGAGGGAGACGATCTTCTTCTCTAAATTTTCGTGGCATAGGCGATCAGAGAAAATGAAGGCATTGTTTTCCATCGAAAGAAATGGGGAATTGGATTGTCTTCACCAAATTGGAGGAAGGAATGCAAGTCAGAGGCGGGAGCGAGGGTCGACATAGGGTCTAGCAGGAGGGGAGGGTTGGCAGTTGTCGGAAGGGAATGAGAAAGGGCATCGACTGATGGATCTTAAGGGGAAGGAAAAAATCCTAAACTACAAGACTTATAAAAACAAATTCCAACATTACAACACTTATGAAATTTTTTCCCAAAATACAAAATTTTGGGGTTGTTCCCTACAGAGAACAACGAACCAATTTGGGGATCACGGGTTAGGGAAGCGAACGAGAGGGAGCTTGTTGTGCGCATCATCTATCCAGTTGTGTGGAAACTCGACGACAAAGATCGCTAGAGAAGGGTGCAATACATGTCACTTGGAGGGTGAGATTATGCATCTAGGTCATGATCAGCATAGCTAGTTCTATATGGAAAACAGTCGTTGGTCTCTTGTGTTGATGCCAAGCTAAAATAGCCGACCTCAAACTTTGTAGAGTCCATAGAGTGTTGACCTTTGGATTGGCGATGGATTCCAGCTCTCGAGATGAACACCTGCAAACAAGGACTCATCGGTTGTTGTCGGTTGGGACCTTCTCCAAAGCTCAAGTCAGCGGTTGGGAACATCGAGCAACGTATTGAGCCGACTCTAGAGAGAAAGAGAGAGAAATTTTGGGGTTGGAAATAGCCAATTTGCCAAGAAATAGTTCATCGGGAATTCCCTTTTCCGATCTCTTTATGAGAAAGTGTGTTCTCTGAATTTGAGATGGATTGCCAAGAAAGCATAATGAGCATCCTATATATAGGTAGCTCCTTCTCCTGACGTGGATGGCAATTCTTTATTGGTTGTGAATAAAGAATAATAATTAAATGAATTAATGAATTAAACAAAGGTTAAGAAACTCACATTGGTTGGAGGTAGAGAAACTCATGTACCATTTTTATGCCCACTAGCACAATAAAAGTTATACTCAATAAACTAACACAAAAATGGGGAAAAGAATGTTCACTACCTTCTTTATTTTCCACGTGCGCAATTATGGTATTGCATAATTTGAGTGGAATCAATGCAACTAAAAGAATTAATTGGTTGAGAGGGTAAAACTTGGATCTTATATCACTTCTCCACGAGTAAATGACTGGGTTAAAGGGGAGTGAGCTGTTGGAGACAATATATGATCTCAACCCAACCACTTTTAATACCTCATGTATTATGTGTAAAAAATAAATTGCATGGGCATGTATGTGTGTTTGCTTAAAGGAGATGATAAGTGGCCTTGCCAGACCTTCCACTCTTCATACACGTGAAAGGAGGAAGTGGAAAGTCGAAATGTGGTGTGATGGGATTATTTTGGATGGTAAAATCTCCACCCATCCAAGTAAATAAATAAGCACAACTAGCTGAAAAGGTAGAGACTTGTTAGTTAGTTATTACCCAACCATGGGATGAGGAATATGAGGTGTAATTATCATTGGCTCATATTTTTATACATGGGTTAGATGGAAATGGAGGCTTGATTATGTAGGAGAGGAAGGTAGTGATTGACTTGTCCTTCGGCCGCGATCTGTTTGGTGCTTAGTTGTCAAGCAAACTTCTCACTCCAAAAAATCTTATAAATAACCCCTCTCCCTTCTTCCTTTACAAACCACACCACACCACTCCACTTTTCTTCCTCTCTTCCTTCATCACACTTGAAACTACTCGTATGATTTATGGTTGTGACTAAACCTGACCGCCCACACCAGAAAAAAATTTCTTCAGTAGGTTACCTTAATCACTCAAAACTCTTGACGAACTTCTGCCAAAAACATGGAAGAAGGGTATCCTCTAATTTTCCCCTACTATAACCCTTTATTTTTTAGTAGATTTTTATATTATGATTTATCATCAAGAATCATGTGGGGGAATAAGACCAATAATGTCTAATTAGTTTCGGCATGATTGACTTATGGAAATCATTGTTTGTGCATTCAATAATTTATCATAACGAGCTCAAAATTATGTATTTTCATACTCAATGTAGTCAAAATCGCGCTTTAAAACTTAAAAACTTACGATTTTACGTTTCTAGTTCACTAAAACGCTTCTACACGAAATCTCAGTTTTTATAACTTATGTAGTTAAAAACTCCGCTTTAAAACTTAAAAACTTACGATTTTACGTTTCTAGATCACCAAAACGTTTCTACGTAGAAACTCGTTTTTGACTACATTGTTCATACTATATGGGGCCAATATTTTTATCCTAGAATATATGACTCGCTAAAACACAACACCAAACTACGACCAAGTATAATCGTAGTTTGGAAATGCAGAATAGTGGGTAAGTTTAATTTATCAACCCGGTGTCTAAATCTACTGCCTACTCCGTGAACTTCTATTATCTAACGGGACTAAGTGAGTGAAGGTGAATTCAAACCAAAATAGAAAGAAATAGTAAATTGACCGGTTTTCTAAAGCAAGAGAAGAGTCACTCGGGAATGAGTCCCCTAGCTCCTTAGTTAGGTCCAAGTTGTAATTCCCTTTGGTTGATTCACTGTTGATTAGACTGTGGAAGATTGATAGCATCGTATTTGCACATGTTTGCACTCTTGTTTCCTGACCATTTTAGCTCGAATTTGTGGTTCATTGGCCTATTTTATGCTAGGTTGTGTAGTTTTGTCTTATCTCAGGTCCTAGCGAGTAAAGGGAGGCATAGGCGCAAGTTTCGGGTAATTTGGAGGTCAGTTGGCGATTCAAGATTCGAAATACGGGCATCCCCTGCACAATTACGGGCGTAATTGCCACTGGCTTGACTGTAATTTTAATGCCGAGCCAAATCCTTGAGAATGTCTGTCAAAGAGCAAATTACGGGCAAGAACGGAATGAATTACGGTCGTAATTCCACGAATATTGGCAGTAATTGG